CGGAAGCGACGTGCTCCTCTGGCGCGGCGAGCACCGCAGTATCCCGAGGTATTCCAGCACGGTCCTCGGCTTCGAGGTGTCGGGCACGATCCTGGAAATGGGCAGACTGGCACACGAGCGGACAGGTTACCAGATGGATGAGGAAGTCGTCGTGCACAACTATCCCGCCTGCGGCGGCCTGGCCGAAAGCTGCCTGGCTCATTACAGAGTAGGGCATTTTTTTATATATGTATATATATGAAAACCTAATCGAAATCGCGAAAATTCAAACAAGATTATAGAGAAGGTCAAATACGGTTCTTGGTGCTAATTGGTATAATAATATTTTTGTGTGAATCTTACGATTTCTAGTTCAGACATATTGCGCGCCACATATTTGCTGCAGGTCATAAAATTATTAAATTGCTTATCAATTTAATTGATGATATTACATTATAAACTGCAGGATTGCGGCTGTGTAAGATTCACACAAAAATATTACCATTATTATTGCCAAGCATCAAGATTCGCTTTAGACCGCGTTTAGCCTTTTCTAATCTTGCATTTTTTTTATCCTGAAGAGAGGAGAGTCTCGATTCGCATACGCTTCGATCAATCCGCTTCGCGGATACGCTCCGCGAGACCGCGGTAATTTGTAAATGCACCAACGCCGTCGGTTTGCGCATACGCACGCACGCATTAACGACTTTCTTCGTGCCGCGCCGCATTCCGCCGGGGTCGGCCCCGCGGAAGAGAATAATCGAGGCGGGTAAATGTTAGGACGTGTTCAGATTAATGCGACGGGTGTCATTGAAAAACGCAGCGGCCGTCACGGACAATTACTTCTCGGCGTTGCTGGCGATCGGCCGTCGAGCACGCGTTCAGAGAAACGAATGCCTCCTCGTTAACGCGAGACACTCGCGTTCCGCTCTCGCCGCCATCGATCTCGCCACCCGAGTCTTCGGAGCGAAGGTATATACTCATCTCAGTCTCGTTACTTTTATTACGATAAATAAATAATGAAAAGAAGAATTGCATGTTTTCCTTATGTCGCACTTATATCTGTTTTGATTAGAGGTGTGCGAATCAGCATTTGCATGGTCGAATCGAATCGAATCGAATTTTTGATAACATGTTCGAAATCGAATCGAATCTTTTTAATTCGAATACGAATCTCGAATCTGAATCAAATTTTCACAGATTTACATTACATGTTAATTATAAACGTTAATAAGTATCAAAATTTATGAATCATATTATTTTACGCAATGATTTAAACAAACTGAAGACCTGTCTTCGATTTACATTTCATTGCAAAGGATCGTGATCTTATGATTTTGAACTAGAAAATATGTAATTAACAATATGTGTATAAACGAATGGTTTGAATGCTTTCGAATATTTTCTACATTAATCTACAAGAAGAATATTTATTAGATAAGAATAATTGATCGCGCGGGAGATATAAATAAAGCAAATAAAATAGGCGATCGATTCGATATCGAAACATTGTTGATTCGAAATTCTCGAACTATTCGATTTCGAATCTTACAGATTTGAAAACAAACTCGAATCGAATCCACTGTGATTCGATTCGATTCGATTCGAATTCGAACTATTCGCACACCTCTAGTTTTCATTAACGCAGTAGATGAGATCAAACTCTTGTACGAAAATATCATACATCATCTATGTATAAAGATTTCGATATATAGATTTGTTTCAATTACTTTTTGATCTTCTATTACTTCATAGATGATTATCCAAAGGAAACAGAATTTTGTATTTCTTTCTTTACAGCCGATAGCTCTATGTGACGATGCGAGACGGGCCGAGTTGTGCGCGGATCTCGGCGCGGCGGTGATATGCAGGAATGATTGTTGCCTGCCGTACAAGTTGAAGAAAATCAACGGGAAGAAAGAAGTGCGTCTGTTGATCGAGACCGAAGGCGAACCGTGCTTTCGGAACGCTGTCAAATGGTGAAATCACCCGCTGTTACGTTACGAGGCTAGAACACTCCAAATCCAAGTGTGTAAATCTGTATAGTCACCTTTTACGCATTTAAACGCGTGTTATATTTTTACACATTTTATCTGTGTTTTACACAGTTAAATGCATATTTTTTACATGCTTACACATATTATTGTAAAATTAAGCGTGTAAAAAATATGTATTTAACTGTGTAAAACAGATAAAATGTGTGAAAATATAACACGCGTTTAAATGCGTAAAAAGTGACTACAGATTTATACACTTGGATTTGGAGTAAATACGAGATTTCTTTTTTTTCTTATCGATAGTCGGAGGTGGACACGCGAATAAGTCGCAAATGAAACGGAAGTTCGATTAGTGGAAAGTAGATTGCCAAACGTTAAGGGCAGGAGATTTCTGAATAACGCTGCATAATGGGTAAGGAATAAAAGAATCAATCGAAGTATTTCAGTTAAATCAGTTCCAGGGTTGGGAAAATTACTTTGTAAAAGTAATTAGTTACAGTTACAGTTTATGTTTTTCAAAAAGTAACTATTTACCGTTACAATAAGTTACCGACTCTGAAAAGTAACATGTTACAGTTACTCAAAAAGTAACGAATCGTTACTTTTCAGTTACTTTTAATAGAACATTATTATAAAAAAAAGACTGGTTTACATTTACATATTATATAATATTATTTAAAAAAGAAAACTAATCCGCGTATTTAAATATGAGCATTTAAATATTTCGCATAATTTATACAATCAACATTACGATTAGATGATTAAGCGAAAGTGTTGCATAAATTTGATCCATGAAAGTGATGATTTAACATATATAAATTAACTGTAAAAGTAATTATTAAATTAGTTACTAGTTACTTAAAAAATCTAAGTTAAGTTACAGTTACACATAGAAAGAAAGTAACAAAGTTAACACAAGATACAGTTATTAAAAAAAATAACTGTAACTGTAACTTTGTTACAAGTAACAAGTTACTTCCCAACCCTGAATTCAGTTCATTCTTCAGTTCTCTTCTTACGTAGCGTTATGCAACGTTATGCAGAAATAATCGAGTTAACATTTGCTTTAAAAAAAACATGCGCATCCCGGATTGTTGCAAGTTGCAATTTTCGGCTATTTTTGAATCGGTAGCACAAAAATCCATATTATGCATGAGAACTCGAGGACTGCGAATTGAAGATTAGAATCCGATCAATTAAATAATCTTAATTTTAACTCTTTGATTAATATATTGAATTCAATTCGCTCTTGAATGCGATGTCCTGCGCGCATCTACGTTGGAGTGAAATTTACACTATTTAGATCCGCAGCTTGATAAAATATTATGCATATAATATAATTGAATTATGCAGAATTATTTTATGTGTTACAGTACGTTTATTACTTTAGTCTTTATTATATGACTAAAATATTGATTATTTACAGAATTGCAAATATTATTTTTTACGAGTTTTATGTATTTCTATTAGATTTTTATTAGATTTAAGAGCAGTCACCTGGTAACTGGCACGGTATTCAACGTATTAAGATTAAGGTCCTGCCTGATTAAATTCTAATCTCCAACTTGTAATGTTTAACATTATTTTCCTAATCAATTTTTATATGTCTTATAATAAGAGTGATTAAGATTATATCTTCATAAGTAGTTAAATTGACCATCTTTTATTTTACATTGTTATTTATTTTTGTCACTCATAATTTATATTAAATTCTATTTTCATATTTGCACACTAATTACTGCGGCTATACTCGCACTAATTGTAAGTTCATTTCACTTATACTTTGAATTTATCAAGAGCCCAGATTACTTTGTAATTTTTAAGAACTATATTAAATTTTATTTTATTTTATTTTAAGGCATTTATTTTTTACAAATGTTCTAAACATTTTTAGCAACATTTCAGACAGCACACAACAAAGCACGCATTCAAAAATGGATCATATGACGTTTTTAATGGGGATTTCACCTTTGCTGGCCGTAAAATTAGCCCTTGTTTCATTGAATTTTTTTAAGAAAATCTATTACATACAGTAAAACGCGGATTTTTGCATAAACTTATATATTATTTGATCAGCAAAAGAAATATTTTTTATTTATATAAAAATGTATTTTAATGTCCCCAAGTGGCGATTGAGTGTGGCATGTTTTTTAGGCTGACGGAAGTAATTACGAAAAAACGAATTAAGATATCGACTTGATTCTTTTTTCCTCTTGATCCTAATACTTTAACGCATGCCGTGAACTAAAATCATTATTTTACAACAAACATTCAATTTGTTATTAAAATTTTAAAAATTTTTAGGGCAAAGAAATAATTTTTTTTTCAAATGCTACCATTTTCACAAATTTCAGGCAATTGACATTATTTTAGTTCATGCCATGCGTGAAAAAGTATTAGGATCAAGAGGAAAAAAGAATCAAGTCGATATCTTAATTCGTTTTTTCGTAATTACTTCCGTCAGCTCGAAAAACATGCCACACTCAATCGCCACTTGGAGACATTAAAATACATTTTTAAATAAATATAAAAAATATCTTTTTTGCTGTTCAAATAATATGTAAGTTTATGCAAAAACCCGCGTTTTACTGTATATAATAAATTTCCTTAAAAAAAATTCATGAAACAAGAGCTAATTTTACGGCCGGCAAATGTGAAACCCCTCTTAAGACGTCTTAAATGATATGATGTTTAAACGACGTTTTTTTTAGACATTTTAAGTCTCATTTTTGGATACTCTGTGTGACTCTCTGTCTAGTATCGGTTATCAGCGACCAGAACACCGCAGAAAAGTTAGGCGTCGCGGCGTCGGTCAGATAACCGTCACGGCAGTTAATGCGTTAATCTTCAATGTTTAGTCTATAATGAGACATTAGAAAGCGTAAGCAATGAGAAAACATAAGCAGTAAGCAAATCTAGATTTTTTTTTATTTGCTACCACTTACGTTAATGCCTTTTACTCTGCTGTGATTATGCCGATTCGCTTGCTGCTTACATCCTGCTTGCGTTTTTTTCTTTTTTTATGTACCACCAGTTTTAGTCGCTAATACGGGTTTTACAACATTCCCCGGATTATGATACGCAGCGCATGCATCTTCTTTTTCAGCTTGGAGTACGACGGTCTGGTCGCTGTCCTCGGTGATGCGCGAAACAAACGATTTCTCGACTTTTCCTCCATGCCGATAAACTGCACGGTGTTCGCGGTCAACGCGGAGCATTATAAAGTTGCCGACACATTGGTGTACAGGTTGACATTTTCTTTTTTTTTTTTGCGAACAAGGATGGTCGCTTGTACAATTGATCGAAATATCGATGTTTACCTGCAGAGAGACCATGCAGCATGTGCTGGACTACAAATCGGAGTGCGCGATCCGTCCTCGGGTCTCAGCGATCTTCGGTCTGCATCGCGTCAACGACGCGTTCAATTATTACGCGACGGTGCCGAGCGGTAAAGTGCTGATCGACATGAAGGATCGCGATCGACTGACTCTGTGCGATGAGTCTTAGATATTAAATTTGATCAATGAATTCCCTTACAGAAATTTAAGTGGTCATGGCCACCATTGACGTTTTAGACCGAAACCCAGAGTTTGGGATTTTTTTGTGGATAAATGGGTAACTTTATTTAAAATCTGCTTAGAGGACATTATTGTACATATATATAAGAAACTAAAAATTTATTTTTTTATTTTTCTTATGTCCAAAATGGCGGCGCACTGGCCTATACTTGCGAAATCCCTTTTTTTTTCTATCGGTGTACAGGATTCCAAGCACACGGTTTGACCTTAAACAAAACACAAAGAATTTTAATTATCTGTATATTAAAAACTATGGAAGTACGTAGGGATTTTTCTAAATATTGATTTTTCTCGAAATAGCAGCTATTTTAAAAAAGATATGTATAGTTGAGAAAAATACACATTTTTCGTAAAATAGTTGCCAATTCGAGAAAACTCAATATTTAGAAAAATCCCTACGTACTTCCATAGTTTCTAATATGTAGACAATGAATATTCTTTGTATTTTGTTCAAGGTCAAACTATGTGCAATCTTGTACACCAATTTCAAGATTTAGAAAAAAGGCATTCGGCAAGTAGGCCAGTGTGCTACCATTTTGAACATTAAAAAAATAAAAAAATATTTTTTTTACTTTATTATATATGTACAACAATATTCTTAAAGTAATTTTTTAATAAAATTATCTGTTTACCCAGAAAAAAATTTCAAACTTAAGTATCATTTTAGGGCCTCAAAGGTGGCATGACCCCTTAATACTGGAAGGACCCAATAATTATTTATTTTAAGTATTAAAAGTATTAACAAACAATACTCGAAATAAGCAATTATTTGGCTTTTTCAGTATTAAATTTTTGTGTGAAGATTCTATCCGATAAATAGATTTGACTTATCCCAACCAGTAGACAAAGTTTGTTAAATATTTGAAATATTTTTTTAATTTAATATAATTAAATAAATAATATTAAAAAAAGCATTATTGAGATAGCGCTTTCTTTTTCTGTCCGCAATATTTTTCAAGGTGGCGTTAGCATACGGTGCCTATTTCTTGAGTTTCATTTTCATCTTATCAATAGAACACTTTCGAATCACCAATGGTGAGTTTATATCTGATTTAATAAACAGCATAGTAAATTTTTCTATACTTAAAATTGTCATTTCTTTATCTTCACGACTAATAATGATACTTTAAACTTTTAAAAAGCTTTTTTCGATGTAATTTTCCATTTACTTCTTATTATATCAGCTTTATCAAATAGTATTTATATATACATGATTATCTTATAATTATAATATATCATTTTTAAAAAAAATTTAATACAGAATATTATAATTACTTCTGAATACAATAGTGCTTTTAATTTTAATACTCAAAATAAGTAATTATATAATCACTACCTCTTAATATTAAATCGCCAGTATTAAATTAGATTTTTGTAATGTAATGTCCGTATTAGACTAACTGAGCTTGAAATTTAGATTGGAATTTAATCAATTTTAAGAAAGAAAATCAATCACAAATTTAGTAAATTTCGCTTTGATTAGGTCAATTCCAATCCAATCTCAATCTCAATCTTTAATTTGATACGGGCATAAGGAATGTTCTAAATATTTCGTGTAAATCTTTTCTTACCCGCATCCATTAAGCATTACGATCTTATCAGCAGTCAATCAATACTTCAATTATCGCGTATGAACTCACTTAATTAAGAAACTTCAGTCAGAATCATATTAATCTTTAAGTATCTCGTTGAGATCTCAACGAGAAACATTAATGATCTTATCATTTATCAATTTATTGAACAAAAAAATTTCTGTATATGTATGTATACATATATGTATTTATACATACATATATGTATGTAAGAGTTTATCAGTTGCAGATAAAGTGGATTTCTGCACTGTAAACTTACGCAAATGAAATAAATTCGTGCAAATGTAACAAGTCAACGATTATGCAATGTGAGATTGTGAGAGAAACGATTCGCGGAGAGTCCACGTCCTCCGTTCGATTTTCGTCAACATTTTAATTCTGCCGTGTCGCGCACGCGAGAGCCACGGCCGCGCCGCCGCGAGATGGCGGCACGCCGCGCGAAAGCGGCGCGCCGTCGGGCGCGACGATGCACCTCCTCTCCTCCGCGGCCGGCGGCGCAGCGCCGAGAAGCGGCCAGCCAGCGCGTGTCCGCTCTCCTCTCGGCTCCGCGGTTTGCGCGTCGCGGCGCGTTGTCACGACGGTAGTAAGTAGACCTCCCCCTCGCGCGTCCCCGGGCGTGTGCCGGCGGTGTCGCGAGCGTGCATCCTCGAAGCGGGCATCCACGCGCGATTACGCGAACGGTATCCGAATTCGTCGTGTTCTGCGTCGCGGTAACCGGCCGAAGCCAAGGAGTAAACGAGTTGTCGCGAGTGCGGTGTCTGTCACACGTCGGCCGTCCGCTCCGTTCTCGCGCCCGTCGCCACCACGCGCGGCGCGGGTCGACGGCAGGGAGCGGAAGAGAGAGAGAGAGAGAGCGCAAGTAAGAGAGAGGAAAGACATTGACTGAGGAGGAGCGCGGCAGGGTGGAAGGAAGAAACGCTAGAAGGGGGGGAGAAGGGAACGAAACGAAGCTCCGCGTGCTGCGACGACGAGCACCGCCTGCACCGCACGGCGGCCGCGCTACATCGTCGGCGATCGTATCGCGTCGCGTCGCGTCGCGTCACGTCGCGTCACATCACCTCCCCTCCCACCCCCGTCGCGTCATCGGTCGTCCGCCCGGTTTTTACTCCTCGCGCCGAGGCGTCGTCGCGTCGCGTCGAGTCGCGTCGTCCCCGAGGGGGATTCCCGTCGTTATCGTCACCGTCGTCGGTCGCGGTCGATCCGATCCGATCCGCTCGTCTCCGCGACGCGCTTTTCTCTCCGACTTCTTTCTCTCGTCGTCTCTCGATTCCGATACATACGTCGTATCTCGACATATCTCGCGGCGTACATACGACGGCGGGGACGGCGGTGGTGCATGCAACCTGTTGTTTTCTCGCGGCGCGCTCTCTCTCTCCTCTCTCACACACCCGACCGCCTCTGGCCTGACACGCAGCCGTGCTGAGCGGGCGACCTAAGCGACGTGCGGGCATCCGACCGACGTGCTGGCGGCCGACCTAACCTCCTCGCGCCCGTCGCCGCCGCCGACCTGGGAAACGCGCCGGCTCGTCGACGCTGGGAGCTGACGGCAGTATGAACGGGTAAGACGACACACGCTAGATGATAAATGATAATAGCTTCTTCTGCTGATAAAGCGCGCGGGCGGGAGGGGGGGAGGAGAGGAAGGGAGAAAGAGAGATTTGGAGGAGGAAGGAAGTGAGAGTGACAGCTGAATGTGAATGCGCGTACGAGTGTATTGATAGACGGGGTAAGGGAAGGGTGTAGTCTCGGTATGTTGGAATGCTGTATTGGGTTGAAGACGAGAGAGAGAGAG